GTAAAACAAGACATAATTAATTGGTGCAACTTTTAAGGTAAAATGTGAAAAGTTGATTTGAAGAGTGTGAAAACTTGAAATGCAAAAGATGAATAGACTTTTCACAGAAACATCAGTATTCTACAGAGCTTCTATTTTCAGTTAGACCTGCATTACACTCGTCTACCTTTCCTCGCTCTCTGTTTCTCAGTTCCACTTCATTGACATGCTGAACATACCCCAGTATGGATCAATAATATTGAGCAAATAGCACCCAATAAACTAAGCTGTTGTCTCAATTGGAGTGTCTTTAGCAGCTTTGATGGAATTTAACCCTCCAGATAAGTGCAGTATTGGACGGCCACTCAAAGAAATGTCAACACAAAGTGTCTTCAAGCTTCTTATGTCCAGTTAACAACATCACGTGCCACTAGAATGGATCCAGGGTAGTGGACATTTTATATCACAGAATGAGTAGTATTAGATCACAATTATGGTACACTGTATCACAGTATAGTTATTAGTTTTTGTTTTTGTTTTTAACAAATGGTTTACAATTATAATAATGTGGTGATTTTTGAATAATCCAATGAATTAAATATTTTACAAATTAATGTTAATTCGTTTTTTTTTTTCATAACAACAAAACAAGTCTAGCATCAGAGCATTTTTGGGTGTTTGTTATTAATTGTGTTTAATATTGCTCATAATTTTAATTGCTTTAATCAGTTAAAGGGATAGTCCACCCAAAAGAAAAGATGAAATGAAATCATTTATTCACCCTCATGTCATTCCAAACTTATGGACTTTCTTTCTTGTTAGTAAGAATGTTAGTAATTAAAGAGATTCAGTTCCCATTGACTTCCATTCTATGGACAAAAATTCAATGGAAGTCAATGGGAACCAAAACAGCAGAAACAAGAAATTTAGCGTAGCGTCAGTTCTGGCAGGTCACGTTAGTCAAGCTCGCATCAGCTGACTCTCAGCTGATACACATCTACCTATAGGAATATGATGCCTATCACTGTATACATAAGCTCATTCAGTATTATCAGCAGCTATCACATTTTTCAGGAGCTAATTACCCTCCTCCTTCTCTCGTCAGTCAGGATTTGGCATTCTGATTGCCCTGTGAATCAGAATAAATTCTCGAATTATGTTGTACATTAAAATCTTTATTAATTAATGATATCTGCAATACATTAATGTTGGTTCTGTTATGTTTACCCTAAGGGGGGTTATTGCTAGCCTGGCTAACGTCAGACCCAAGTCTCATTGAGACTTGGGTCTGGGAACCACATGTTCATTTTCTCGTATTTGAGGCTTGGTTTACGAATGCCCAGCGCCTGTACGTAGCTCATAGCCAATCGTTTCAATTATACCAGATGACGTATGTAGAGCGACAGAAATTAGATGAGGAAGAAGACGATGGGTCAAAGATTTATGTGTACACGATGGCGTGTATCTAACGGCCGTTTCACACCGCGCATGTTAATCAATGAGTGCATTCACACCGGGAGAAGGAGCAGCGCGTGAGCGTCAGTGAAGCGGGGGTTTCGGCGTCGAATCTGTTTTTGCTGCACTGCTCACGGTAAATTAAAGTGAAAGCACACTTTTGATGGACAAAAATAAATATGATTTCACACAAAAAGTGCCCAAAATGCACAGAATAAGCATGTCTAGTGAGTTTTAACAAGAACTTGAGTAGGCAAATAAAAGAAAATAAAGACTCAAAAATATTTATAGAAGATTTAGGCTACCCGGTAAAAACTTGTTTTTAATTATTCAGTTTGGGTGAAAGTTGTGTATTATATTAAAAAAAACTAAAGTAAACTAGCCAGAAAATATTATACGTTCTTTTAGTTTATGTAACACACAGATAGCTACATAGGCTAGCACAACCCAAATCAAACCCGAGTGTGTGGTTTATTTGTGTGTTTTGTTTTTTATCCGCGGAGTTTGCAGTCTTGTAAACATATCGAAAGTATGACTGAAACTAATAGATTGGAGCAATTTTCTGGGTTGTTTTGTTGTTTAACATTTATATGCAAATGTTGTACACCTCCCCATTACAAACTTTCAAGACTATCAATGTTATAAATGACCAACTTCTAAAAACAAATGTATAGTTGTCTTTGTAAAGAATTGCTCGCTTGTATGTAGCTTTGGAGCTGTGACACTGTACAATTGCTTCCAGTGTGAATACTCTCGCGCGTCTGCAGCTGCAGTGACGAGGTAAGTTAGTTACGCTGACGCGCTGCTCAAGTGCCGCTCACGCATGCGGTGTGAAACGGCCGTAAGGCTGCATCGAAAGGTAACTTCGCGTCTGCTGCCATGTTGGATCCATAGGTATAAACAAACTGCTTTGGTGTGTCGCATAGACGTCGTCATCGTGTTGCTGCTCCCTCCCCGTTCTGTGATTGGTTCCCTAGATGAGGCGAAAATCTGGTCCATGGGATCCAGACTACCTAGCAGCGTGAATAAAATCGCGCTGCGGCAAGGTAGTATGGGGAAACTCAGGCTAGGTTATTGCTGCTCTCCCTGCTCTTATCCCTGCTAGGCTGCATGGATGCGCAGGGAGTTCTTGCCCAGAACAGAACTATACCACCAATCCTAACTGTATGCTAATTGTCAATCGTATTTGACGATAGTGGTCCTGACAGAAATGCATTCAGGTTTGGAACAACATGAGGGTGAGTAAATGATAATAGAATTTCATTTTTGGCTAAACTACTTTAATCTCATATCTTGTGGCATGCTGAGTGTAATAAAAGCACATTATAAATAAAAGTATTATTATTATTAGTAGTAGTAGTAGTATTAATTGGTATCAGTGGATGAGTCAGTGAAAGGAAAGTCCACATGGACATATTGCTACCTTGGTACAAACAGAATAGAATGTGTTGTGTATCTAAGCATGTTAATACACAACTCTTATCTGAACAGCAATTAAAAGCACATGTATAATTGGAAGGACACAGTGTGTCACAAAAACACCACGAGTTGCAATGACACACTCCATGCTTTTGGTCAGAATAAAAAGAGGTTTGTATTTTCTCTAAGGAACATACTCAGTTCCTGCAAATTACAATGAGAAGTTTGAAGAACAAAGACACTTAACTTTGCATATTTATTTCAGCTTTGTTCCAAAACCTAAGCTACTAGAGGGCTACAAAAGTTTAGAAGGTTAGACATCCTAACCATCATTGAAACTCATAAGTGACTGTTTTAAAATACAATAGGCAGAAGGCAACCTCACGCAACTCTATTGTATTTATTCCATGTTAACATGTTGCTAAGCTAAAAAAACGTGACACACTAGCACAAAAGTACTTAGCTACGGAACACCTAATGGGACTTTGAATTCGTTCACAAAACATTTGCATTTGCAAAACTATTGTGTTCCTCCTAGAAACTTTACATTCATACGCAAATCCAGCAAACAGGGAACATGCTCAGAACTTTGGCTAACATTCTGGCAAGGGTCATGAACAAACGTTCTTTCAGTAACATTAAGGAAAGTTAGTTCAAAATGATCTGGGGCCTGATGTATAAACATTGCGTATGCACAAAATGGGCATAGAAATATGCGTACGCACATTTTTCCACGCACATATCGGGATTTATAAAAAATAAACTTGGCGTAAATAAGTGCGCACCGTAAGGATGCTCTTGACCGTGCGTACGCACTCTTAGAGTATGTGTTTTGGCGACACCAACTGGCCCAAATAGCAATAACTATTTAAAATGAAAAACTTCTAAATTATCCTATTACATCACCCAATAAATCAAATTGCATCAACCTGAATTATCATTATAAGCATTCTTAACCAGGTGCAAATACTATTTTTTTGTAATGAATGGGCTATAAAAAGGTATGTGCGTATATAACATATCATCATAATGGATGCTCTAGCGCTGTTAGAAGACCTTGCTAATGACGCTCTACGGAGGGAGCGTGTTTTTTTTTGCTCATGATGATGATTGACTCATGAGCCGATTTCGATTCCCAAGAGCCATCCTCTTGGAATTGTGTTCTGAATTACGGCCAGTAACATGAACTGAGAAGTTACAACATTTTTATATTCAATAAATATAAATATTTGTTGTGGATGTGATGCTTTTGAACACTTCTCCTCTGGCATGCTGTCTGTGTTTTAATGTGTTAACTACATAGATAATTGCTTATCATGATAGCAGATTGTCTGAGAAAATGGTTTCGTGCAAATAATGCACAACAAGGTCTATCTGTTTCCATTAAAAATATAAATCAATTAAAATACTATTTGGCCAGTGGAATAGATTGAGAAAAACTTTCTCTGAAATGCATTTTGCACTATTTTATTTTATTTATTTAAAAAACAAGGGAAGGATGGGCTACTAAATGATTTTTATTAATGTAATGTGACGGCACATCCGTATTTCATATTTTTCTAATGTCTTGTACTGTTAAACATGTTATCATGTGGATGAATAATCATATGCAAATGATATGCAGATGAGGATATGCATAGTAAAACTAGGCGTTATAATCTCCATATTGGTTATTTCGGGGTGAAGACGCATATGCGCACAATCTTCCGCTGACTGGGATTTATAAAGTGAATTCTGCACAGGTTCTGGCATACGCACGGTTTTATTCTGTCTGAATATTTTTTTGTGTACAACATTTTTGGCTTTCGGGCGCACGTACACTTTTAGTAAGGATTCTACGCACAGTTTTATAAATGAGGCCCCTGGTTTTAAATAACGTTATGGAACATTTTTCTGAAAGATTTTAGTTGGACATTAGTCTAGCTATTTTTGTTGATGTATAAATGATATAAATGATATTTCTCTTTATTTTTACTGAGTGTGTCACATTGCATTCTGGGATTGCATTTATCCGTTAAAGATACATGCATTGCTTTCTTAGGTTTTATAGACTCAGCCATTTCACATACAAATAAACATGGAAAAATGAGAGTACAATTAAGCGTTTATTACAACACACACACACACACACACACAACGCAACTCACCTCGTATAAGGTCAGAGGTCATGTGCGGCCAGCTATAGGTCCGTACAAGCTGCCAATCAAAATCATCTTCCTGTGCCTGTCTGTATTCACAGAGGCTGGGGTCGGAGTCTTCCTCAAACGTGCAGCCAGCTAGAGAGAGAAATAACACATTTTTAGAAAAAAATTCTTGTGAAATTTTCTGAAAAGTCATACATTTCAACATTAATTCCTACTTGGGAAAGTGCAACAGAAGTCATTCTCTACTTGAAGTTGAACTTCACATTTTAACAATGGTTTCACATGTATATGGCAACACCCAGTGTGACAGTTAATGATTTCAAAGGCAAATAAGTATTTTAATAAAGAGCTTTTAAAGGTACAGTAGCAAAAACTTACTGCAACTGCAAGGGTCTGGGAGAGGTTGACAAATTATCATGTGATATTAAATTGCAGCTGTTTTTAGTGCAACAAACCTGACCAACATCATAAGAGGACTTGGGGGAGGAATATAAAAATTATTTGAAAAGAGTCAATTATGAACTCTTTAAACAACAAATAACCAAAAGCTCCACATTTTTGATCACACTCTGAAAACTTTTTTATGAGAACAGTGGGATGATTGTTGCTTTAGGCAGATGATGCATTTCTGTAAATAACTTGTGAGTTTGCTAGCTTTGTAGTGGAACCTCAGGGCTGTTGCGTTCGAGTAATTAAATATTCCGCACAAAACTATGGTTCACTTTGTAGCTGTAATCTTTCAGGGGTCTTGTTTCTTTCACTGAGAAGAAAGACTCTGTTTAAACAGGCAGAAAAAAATCTGGGTTTTTTTGGCTTATCTGACTCAAATCTGTTTAGTTGATTGCAGAGAGAAAAAATATATTGGGGATTTTTTCAACATATGGTCATTGAAAAAACATGCATTTACCTCTAAATTTTTGCAAAACTCCACAAAACCTACTTATACATTGAATTCACTGCAGTTTCCAGTAGTGTTGTTCAATTCCTGACCGAATCGTTCTTTTAAAGGAGCATTTCACCCGTGGGAACATTAATCTTTATTGAAAGTGGGCCATATATGTAGTCGAAATGTCAAATAAATTTCGAATTTGGTGCCTTCTTGACCGAGGAAAGACAGAAAGTAACTTAGGGGGCGCATTTGTATGGAAGACAACAACTCCCACAATGCACCACATTGCACAGCTCCGCAAGCCACTCCAACTAATCCAGAACACCACTTATGAGTTATCCGCCTATCAAAGAAATCACTCTTCCGTCTACAAGGCTAGCTACCACCAGAGCTTGAAATTCATTTCACAGAAAATTTCTAGTTAGTTGGCGAACTCATTAGTGAATTACTCCTCGTTTGTTTCTTTCGAAATGGTGAATTATTGCTTGATACCGGGATGTTCAGTCAGAACATATGCGGTGCGAAACTAGGATGGTTCACAACACAAACGTCCGTTTCCTCGTCAGATTCAAAGAATTCGTCCAAGAGAAATTGGCAACGTTGAAATTCTTTGCAGCAGACGGACTCTATCTCTGTGTCCGTAGGCGCACAGTGAGAGCACAGGCACCACCAGTCCGCCCAGCTCGAGCCAGTCCGGGCTCCTCGTCCGCGACAGGCAGCCGCCTCCTGTTCCTCCATCAGCCTCAGCTGCTCTTCGCTATATTGCGGCTCGTAAAAGTAGCCACGAACATCTGATTCGAGCATCAGACTTTCAAAATCCTCTTCTTCCATATCATATTGAGTACATTTCGCCATTGTCGTAACTTTACATCTGGCTCCACAGCGCCTGTTAGCTTAGCTTCCAAACAAGATGGAGGATATTTTTTTTAGTTTCAGAAAGTGAAGTCCCACCCACTGATCTGTAATAGGTCTGTAGCGTTCGTGCGTGCGTGCGTGGGTCAGGCCCTTCTAAAAAAGAAAAGTGGAAAAAAAGTAAACACAGAGCTCCTCTGACCCTTATTTCTGAATGCATTATTGTCTCGCGAGATCTGATGCGATATTTTGGCTGTCGTGGACGGTCATTTTAATAATGCAAATGAGGGGCGCGTTGATTGGTGGCAGGAAGGAGGGGGCTTGACACCGCAGGTAACTTCAGCATATCATTCCAAAATGACATCATGGCGCAAGTTGTGAATGAACCCGACCTGGCCGCGACCTACGAAATTCAACCATATATGTTTGAGCCAGACTCTGAACCAGAGCTGGAAACGGAAGATATAGAGTCAATGGAAGGACGTCTACATCAACATGTCTCTGAATGGTAAAGACAAGCATTTTGACTGAGACATACATTAACATCAGTAACGAGCTAAAACGTTTGTTGCTATTTTCTCCCACATAAGTTTACCTTTTATTTAATGTAGATTACATTAACGGAGATGTAGTCTAGCCTACTTTTTTATCAGCTTACAGTGGTTATAGAGATCAACGTTTGCTATTATGTGTTGTTTTTGCCTTGTTTCACGTTGTGGTTTTTTAGACATTCAATATTTTTCATCTACAGACATGTAACGTGATGATTCCTGTGTAAAATGTTTAGCGCAGACACCTAACGTTGAGCCAGTTGATAGGGTTGTTGGAACAGCGTCATTAAAAATGAATTTCATCCACTTGTCCCTGGTAGTTTGGTCCGTTTTTGGTAGAGAAAACACATTTGAATGTTGATTCTGGCAGTCAACCACAGAGCAACTCACGTGTGCACTACATTTCTGCATCTTTCTTGACTGAATATGAGGGGAGATGGGCAGGGCGGGCTTCCTGCAGCATATGTCTGCAGTGCAGTGTCCATATATGGTATATCATGCCCCGTCTTGACGTCAAGTCGGGGGAGAAATTAAAATCCCATATTTGAGTGCGCGTGCACGTGGGCTGGTTTACGAACCCTGGGGTAAACAAACGCTTCACTTTTGAATATCGGCTTCCTGGCCAATGTATAATCGTTACATACAACGCAATCATAACATACATTGATTCTCGTGGAAAAGTGAAAATTACAGGTTATGACTCCTTTAAGGGATACAATGATGGACTAAAGGGGAACTTTAACAGTGAATGAGTTACTGTAGCGGTTTTGAGGAAAGGATATGCAATAGCCATTTTTGTATTAGTATTGTTATTATTGGACATTGACTACACTGTCTAAACAAATGGATCTGTTTGGGTTTTATTACTTGTAAAATAACAGTGCGGACAGTCAGCCCTGAAAATTGGATTTGGAAAACCAATTGGAATCGTATGTAGTGTGAAGAAAGGCTAATCGCTTGCACTAAAACTAATGGTGCAAACGAAAAGACGCTCTCGCCTGTGAATGTAGTGATGTGGAATTATCTCAGGCGAAAATGATTGAGTACCACACCTGAACTCAGACTCCAGCTAAAAGCTTTTCTGTGCTTTTTGTTTCCCTTAATTGCATCTAATAACTCTGGTTTCCTCGGCTCTGTGTGTAAGTGGAGGTGTGTTTTTCGGCTCAATTAGTTCCAAGCTTGGAGGACGGTGAGGTAAAGACGGGTCAGGTAAATTGCCGTCACCTGCCAAACATCAACATCACAATAGAGACACTGAGACGAAACACGAACCTCGCGTAATAGACTCATCACCAGTGAGAGGTGACCCCCTCTTATGTTTGTCTGTTGGAAAACATGCTCTCAACAGAAGCTAATAATACTCCATCTAGAGTAGCAACTAAAAACAGAAGCACTCTCACAACAACATGCTCTCACGCTACATTACAGGTGGGAATTATAGCCAGACCCATGAAATTGGACCGAACTACTCACATAGACAGAAGAACATCTCAATAGATTCATGCACTCTCAGGCCCCTTGATTCTGATTCGTCAAATACACTCTTAGAAAAAAAGGTTCAATGGAGTCAACCAATCAGATGCAAGCATTCAACAGCCCCGTAGTATAAATAACCATGTGGGTTCTTGACTATTTTAAAGAAATAATTTTTAAAGAACCATTTATATCAGAAAGGATCTATATAAGGAAAACTGCCTTAAAGGTGACATACAGTATTATGCCGCTTTTCACAAGATGTAATATAAATATATGGTGTCCCCAGAACGTGTCTGTGAAATTTCAGCTCAAAATTCCCCCAGATCATTTATTATAGCTTGTCAAATTTGCCCCTTTTGTGTGTGAGCAAAAACGGTCTGTTTTATTGTGTGTCCCTTTGAATGCAAATGAGCTGCTGCTCCCCGCCTCCGTTCAGAAGAGGGCCGATTCTTTACATGAGCTTCATATACTCCGTCAATAACAAAACATGCGAATAATCTCACTCATCCAAAATCTCATAAATAACCAGTAGCGGAGTGCAGCCTTACGGAGAGACTCAGGAAGAGGTTGCAACTTTTAGAAGCACCTGGACGTTTCTGAATGGTTAGTGGATACATTTATGTAGTTGTTGTGGAGTTACATTGATTCCTCTCATCGACTTGCATGCACCGCATGTTTAACTTTTACACAAGTTGACACAGTTCCCTGAGGTTTTTATAGGACAGCTGCTGTGACATTTATTGGTCAAATAGTGTTCTGTGCTCGTCTGTGCAGCCAACGACAGAACAGTTTGCATGCTTTGATCGAACTTTTGCCATTGCGTTAGAACTGGTTACACTGTTGTCGCTTCCGAAAACCAAATGGCGGCGCCGTGGGTGGAAACATGCAGATTAAGGGGCGATAATATTATAATAAGAACCCCTTCCTACGTCAGAAGGGGATCGAAATCTGATCAGTTTTTTTTTTTACATGCTTGCAGAGAAATGCTTACCAAAAAAGGACTGGGTTGTCACTTTTCATGTTTTCTGGGTTGGTAGATGAACCGGGGACCCGATTATAGCACTTAAACACGGAAAAAGTCAGATTTTCATGATATGTCAGTCATGAAAAGTCAGATTTTCATGATATTTTTCATTTTCAATGGGTTATTATTATTTTTTTCTAGTGATAAAGTATGTTTACGAGGTGCTTAATTTATAAAAAAGTACTTAAAATTAAAATTGAAAACAAATTAATTAATTAAAACTAAATCCAAACAAAATATGATCCTGGAAACCCCTAAAATGTTCTATGTAGCGCCTGAAAGAACCCTCTAAATTTCTATAGAACATTTCCTTCTAAGAGTCTACACTATTGTTCAAAAG